ATGTTTTGAGTGGGTGGGAGTGTTTCTGGTGTTGTAATTCTGCTCTAGTTATGACAAGACTACTTCTGCAAAAAAGAAGCAGCGTTGGTTGTTAGGAACGATCCGAGTCAAACTCAGATCTGTATTCGACTTGAAATCCTTTCGTAGGAATCCTTTGACTCTTTAGAGCTTGGCAAAGGATACTGTACATAGTTGACAATAATTTGCAGACTACACAAAAGGAGATGGAACTACTAGCTTGGAAACTCCATGGATTGTTCCCTTTGCTAGCAAGAAACAGATTAGATAGCATAATAATAACAACAGATAGCATAATGATAAAATAATCATAATAGCATACACACAACCCGCAGCTACTTGTAAGATTTATCCCATTGATCTGTTTTAACATTTGGTTTTTAATTTTAAAAAATTAATTGATAGGTTTTCTGTTTTTACTAATGTATTTCTTTGTAATTGTTTAAAGTTTTTTCTTCTTAATTTTTTTTACTGTGTTTTATGTAAACCGCTTTTGTGTTTTCCATGGTTTATAAATATAATCATAACCATAATGTGCTGTTTTAGATTCTACTGCTGTTGTTTTATAGTATATGTTTTATTTTATTTTTCTATTACTGTATTTCTGTTTCTACTATAAAACTGTCCTGGGAAAGTTTATTTAAACAAAAAAATATACAACATTTGTTTGTTGCAGGTGGCATTTTCATTGATAAATATAATTAATAATTATTATTTTGTGTGGGACAGTTATTGGCTTGGAGGGGGCTTGTTCTTGATTTTATTGTGTATTTTGTGTTTTTATCTTGTATTTTATGTTGCGAACCAGATGAAGAGTGGTATACAAATTCAATTAATAATAATAATAATTCTGGAACTCTTCTCAGGGATGGGGTCACATTTTGGCACCAATTTACTTTTCCGGGGGTAAAGAAAACTTGCTGTTACTGTACGCAGAGCAAAAATGCCTCTATGTTTCTGAGAATGTATCTGTACAAACTTCTAGTATCTAAGTATGACTCAATTTCATTTCAAAAACACACACTATGAGAAACTGAAAAAAAAATTACTATCTAAACAAAGCATTGCTAAGAAGGCCTTGAAATAGGTTTGGTAGCAAGATTACTTCATTAAAGAGTACTACTTTAAAAGACGGGAGTATTCTTACTGAAAGCTAGCAAAAGATTCCAGTAATAGTAAACGTGAGGAACAAAAATCACATTCTATATGTGCCAGGGTAGAGAAAGTATAAAAAGGCAAACACAAAACAAACAAACAAAAATGGTTTGGGGACGAGCAGAAAAAACATATTTTAAAATCTTCAGCAGTACAGTGGTACCTCTGGTTATGTACTTAATTCGTTCCGGAGGTCCGTTCTTAATCTGAAGCACCACTTTAGCTAATGGGGCCTCCCGCTGCCGCCGCGTGATTTCTGTTCTCATCCTGAAGCAAAGTTCTTAACCCGAGGTACTATTTCTGGGTTAACGGAGTCTGTAACCTGAAGCATATGTAACCTGAAGCTTATGTAACCCGAGGTACCACAGTACAATGAAGGGCAAGATGAAACTGCTACTTGTATTTTGGATGAGGAACATGAGGGACAGAGGGATGCATTTATAGGAAAACTAGTAGGATACTGGAATGTGTATATGTAGCTAGATAGTCACATGCTTTCTTTCCCTCATTATGCCCCACAATCTAATGTCATAATCACCACTTGTGCTTAAGCAGCACAAGTCCCATTGAAATGATTTGGCCTTACACCTGAGAAACTATTGAAATTAATATAATTAGAGAAAGTCTAAACCTGGTACTGAACAGTTTTGTTCCCTTTTTAGCTGTATCATATAAATACATACTTGAGCTGCTTTCCAAGTGTAAATTAATTCTAAACACTAATTAGTATTCATTGGTTTAGGTAGGTAGTCCTGTTGGTCTGCTGCAGTCAAAATAAATTTAAAAAATTAAAAAATTGTCCAGTAGCACCTTAGAGACCAACTAAGTTTGTTCTGGGTATAAGCTTCAGTGTGCATGCAGACTTCTTCAGATAGTGTTCCTTTGTGTAAGTCAGGTCTTCTAGTCAAAAAAAAATATATGAGCGTTTGTCTCATCAAAATTCCCCTTACAGACTGCAGAGGAGCTGTCAAGCTATTGAAATATATAGTGAACTACTAAAATATTCAAGTGTAATGAACAGAGCAAGTAACACTTCTCAGAAGAGCTCAGACTTTGATAATCATATGGATGGAGTGTGTAAACATGCAATATCAGCATGAAACACCAGCACAAACAGAAACATATGCATCAAGGAACTTCAGCATGCTTTTCAAGACTTTCTGTCATTAGATATGAGGAACATTTGCCCAACCTTTAACGCAAAACTGCTGTAAGCTAAAGTACCGCCACACAATTTTCCATTACTTTCACTATATGTTTTAAGGAAATACTAGTAAATTATTACATTATTATTAAAGATTATTATTAAAGGTGAGGCGCCACCAATGAAAAGAGCCAATATTATGTTGCAACCCTCCAATGGAGGGGGAGCATGAAGTAGGGCCTCAGATGATAATTGACAGCTTCAGGTTGATTCTTGTGAACTTTCAAGACTGATAGAAAGCAAAAGATATGCTGTCCTACATGCCTAGATTACTACAAAAGTCTGAAAATCAAATACTTTTTATTTTCTACCTCACACTAAGAATATGGCATTTGCCATACGTTAACACTGAGCAAGCCATGGAATAGAATGCTAGGTTAAAGAAGCGTAATGTTATGTATGTTTATTCAGCAGTAATTACTACTGTGTCTATTTGGAATAAGAAGAAGAAGAAGAATTTGGACTTGATATCCCGCCTTTCACTCCCTTTAAGGAGTCTCAAAGCGGCTAACATTCTCCTTTCCCTTCCTCCCCCACAACAAACACTCTGTGAGGTGAGCGGGGCTGAGAGACTTCAGAGAAGTGTGACTGGCCCAAGGTCACCCAGCAGCTGCATGTGGAGGAGCGGAGACGTGAACCCGGTTCCCCAGATTACGTGACTACCGCTCTTAACCACTACACCATACTGGCTCCCATAAGTGTATTCCTTTGGACTACAGTCTGAGGCTAATCTTTTACACACTTACTAGATGGTAGCTCAGTTGAATAGGGTTTACTTCTGAATAAACATGCATAGTATTGCATGCATGTAACCTAGAAACATATGCCTTGGCTTGCTCTGGAAATGGGGAGAACAGGGATTTATTTTTACAGATACACACACACACGTACATATACACACACATGCTTAAAGAATATAGGTACTGTCTCAGGAAAATCCACAAAATCTATAGGGAATTAGATAGGTTGCTGCACTCTGCACCAATAGCTATTCTAAAAACTTCTCAAATAGGAATACTACAGTAGTCAACTGAAGAGTTGTGAGGTGCAGGTGACTGACACTAAACCCATTCTCTCCAGATGAAGCCACAATTATATTATCAGAGGAAGTAAATAAAATGCAGGCCTGGTTGCAGCTTATTAACAGCGCATTCAGAAGTAGTCTTGAGATGCAAAAACCTGAGAAAACCACATCAGCAATCATCAGCTGACTATACTTCTGAAGCTGGATTTCCCAACCCTATTACTTCTGTTTTGCCTGAAACTAACATTGTCCCCAACAAGATCTTCCAGGCACTGCTTAAGAACCAAAGTTGCTGTTCCCATATATGATCTTCACTGAAAACCAGAATTCTCATTATCATGCCACATTTAAAAACTCCACTGAGTCTTTCACAAGGCTTCAGATTGATCTTAGAAAGTAAGGAAAGAACAGAACCAGTATTATAACATGTATGCCTGTGAATACAAGTTTCTGGAGAACCTGAAGAAGAGTGCTATTGTACTCATGTGCTGCTTGTGGGCTCCTCTATCTACTTGCTTGGCCAGTGTGAGAAAAGGGTGCTGGACTAGATGAGCCTTTGGTCATCATCATCATCATTTTTAATTTGTATACCATCTTTCTGTCTTACAATACTCAAGGCGGTTTAGAAGCTGAAGAAACAAAAAATGTACATCTTATAACAATCTAATGCAATACAAAAATGTGATAATAAAACATAACTTTAAAATAAGCAACCTACATCAAAAAAAGTAACATTCAACAATAATTAGAACAGTATAAAATAATAATATCAGCGTATAAAAGTTAAACAGAAATTCACCCTTAACAGTTACAATAAATGATTTCTAAACTATAATCAATAAAACAATGGCAAGCCACAGTACATAAAATAATACAATAGAAATTGAGAAGCAGATACTAGAGGTTGGAGCAAGGCAGGTGGAAGAAAGCCTTGCATCCTATATGATACAAGCCATTATTTTGAGCTCATAATCCTACAGCACGAGTTTTATACAATTAGAAAAGAACAGAGCCAACACTCACACACTACTTTAAACCACAATTAAGAACCCAGGCTTGTGGTTTACCTCTCTGCAAAACAGGTCATGAGCTTTAACCAATGGTTGTACTCTAGCAGCAGAACAGTCCTGTACTTCTCTACTCAGAAGCAAGACCCGCTGAGTTCAATAGGACTTGTTCCCAAGTAAGTGCATACAGCAGTGGTTTTCAAAGGAGAGGCATGCCACATGGATGTGGCAAGGGAGGTTGGCAAGTGTGGCGGCAAGACTCAAGGACAATCAATATTATATTTTGGGATTGATTCGTGTTCTTATGTACCTTCATTATTTTATACTTTTTGGGGATCCCATGATCATATTATAAAGTAGCTGTGTTCTAGCAACCGCTAGAGATGGGCTACATATGCATAGGAAGGACATTAACAATGCTTCACTACTAAACTTCACTTTCAAGGATTTCAAAGATTCATTTTCCATCTTGTGACTAATTACTTAATCCCTCAGAGAATTTCCAATTTTCATGAAATTTCTAAAAAATAATTTTTTTTAACCTTCCCCTGCTTTCATTGTACTAAGCTGCATTACACATTTAAATCCTAGTTCCCCTCATTTTTATATATATATATATATATATATACATATATATATATATATATATGGGGGGAGGGGGTTATGTATCACTCATACTATATTCCGCATTTGCATAGGTCTGTAACATGTTTCTTATGGGAAAATAACAATAAAGATCCTTAAAGTTTGTCAGCAAAATCATTATCAGTAATTTCTGTTTAAGCCTCCATCTCATCTGTTTCCCTCCACTTTTGTAGATTTTTAGTGTACAGAAGAATGCAGAATACTTTTGAGACTGTACTCATGTTCCTATGATAAGCCTTTAAGGCAACTGCCTGAAAGCTTTCAGCAGCAACTTTCTGGGACAGGTACAAACATGGCCAAAAAGCAGTGATTTGTCTCAGGAGACGTGTTTACAGGAATTAAATTAATCTTAGTACAGGCTTCAGCATGATTTTTTCCCCCCAAAAAATAAAAAAAAATCCTTTGGTGTGTGAAATGAGGCCCATTCTGAGGCTAAAACAGAACTTCCAGTAGAAATTACAATTACAGATGTAATTAGCCACCAGTCAATACATTCCCCCCACTTCTGATTACAACGCAGTTGGGAGAGTGACGGTGAAACTAGCTGACTCATAAACAGAACAGAACACATAACCAGACTAGTCAAGGTAATTAAAAATGTGTGGGCATCCCTTAAAAAAAAAAAAAGCTTGCATGGGAGGAGGACAATTATTGCAATATTTTCTCTCCTATGCACTAACAGCCTAATAAATACATGAAGATAAAATGCAGAACATGTACATTACTAGTCACATTGCCAAATATATAATTAACTTACTCAAACACTTTAGCATGGTTTGTCTTTTCAGATGGTCCCAACATTACACCAAGAAGACCCACTAATGATAGTAACATCTAGATGCCAGACACATTTATAAAAGAAGAAGTCTTCTGGAAGAAAATGCACTTGAAATCCACAATTTGCTTAAAATTTTGGCTGTAGAATTGGTTGTGTGTTATTTTTAGCAGCTGTCTTGCACGTATACACGCTCCTACAATGGTCTATTCATGTGAACAGTGTAACAGTGGAAGAAAGTCACAGCTCAGCTTCTACGAGTACTGATTTCTGGTTTCACCTATTGCTCAAAGAAACCACCCTGGATCTTTCACAAGTGTTCTCCTACAACAGTTACATGAGCAGGTGAAAGCAAGGTTACTAACCAGCTGTAAGTAAGGCACAGTAATTTCTCAGATCTCTTGATAAAAGAGAATCAAAACAACTCCTGGACTTGCAAATCACTAGGATTAGAGAAGACTACCGATGTTTTCAAATCATAGAATCAGAGTTGGAATACAGTATACAGTAAATGTCAGTTGTCCATTCATTCAGTTCAGAATGATCTTCTGTTCAAAGGTTAGCTTGGCAAAGTGGCCAGGAAATAATTCATTCTACAGAAGTGTAGGTTTTTTGCTTGTTTGCTTGTTTGCTAAACCTCTTAATGGTCGGACAAAAATTAGAACAACCTACTTGAAAATGCATGCTGTATTACTGATGTCTCCTGAGCACATGGTGTAATATAATCATAATAGTTTTGAAAGGGTGAGAGGCTGGTGGTATGTTAAATCATGCCATCTGTAGGTGCTTTATATAGTTCCATTTGCTAATATCAAGCCATACGTTTACAGTACTGCTCCTATCATAACCAAGCCGGGGGGTGTTGTGTTACTATGTTTAATATTTTACCAATGCTCAAAGCATTTTTTTTTGTTAAGAGTCAGATTGTTATGCAGAAAAATCCCACACAGTTTAATAATACATACCTTGTAAGTTAGTAGTAGTTGTCTTTTTATGTTGTAATTCCATGTCCAATCACCAGACTGAATTTACATTCCAAGAGCGTGAACTGGGTGGAACAATGGAGTAACTACTTGTCATCCTCTCCCCTTAACATACTAGGAGCTTAAGTAGCTCCATATGTTTGCTGTTTACTGATGTATATAGTTGAGCAGAGCAATTCAAAGAAGAAAAATACGGTAAACCCTGTCTCTCAAAGTTCCTCTCATTATCTCCCCTTTTGTACAGGTGGGTCCCTGAAGCCTTAACTGCTAATAGGAGACTAGTGGCAATCAGAAATGGGCATCTGATCCATTTTCTACAATACTCCAGTGTTATGCTACATTGAGAGCATTATAGCAAATGTAAAGGGTGGATCAGATCCAGCCACCCAGTGCATGGGGCCCAAATTACACTACAGAATGGGTCCAGCTCAGACTTTGGGATCCCAGAACCTGCCCAAGGGGGTTTTGTGCTGATGCTGGGCCTGAAGCTGCATGAGGGAAATGATGGATTAACAAATATGTGTCTGTGTCAGGTACAGTTTAGAACAGATCTTTGTAAAAATTACTTTCTTTAAAAACAATTGTTAACTCAGTTATATTCTCACAAACTGAAAGGTCTTTGGAATGGCAATATTGTTTCCAGGTAAATGATCCTTTATGAGGTGTGGGGGGGGAATCCCTGCTCACTGCAGATGCGTCTTCAATGCAAGCAGCCACCAACAAGCCAACTTCATTTGGGTATGATGAATCTTTTATTTTCTAAATCAACGATGGTCTATGGTTATGAACCAGGGGGTGAAACTAAGTGTTGTGTATAAAACACAGGACTGTGCCAAAAACCTACATACATCCTGACATTATTACACTGCACCTTTTTCCACTCCTGTCTGCAACAGCCAATGGCACAAATAAATGTCAAAAGAATCCAAATGACAAAGGGACTACAACTGTTTTAAAACAAATCATCTATTTCCACAGAATATCACAGGTGGTAGTGAACACCACTCTCACTAGTAAGTTGTGTGGATGTATTAATGATCATAAGAATGTGAGCAACTACATGCATTCTCCTTGCAGATAATTACTCAATCCAAGTTAACTCCCATGATCCTCTATGTATCTGTGGCACACAGTACAGGAACCCCAAGTAATTGGTGTGCCATTCTCTACCAGACAATCTACTGACTGTGCACAAAGTTCCTAAATGGTCATGGAATACTTGCAGTGCCCCAAGTTCATCTATGTGCTCATCCAGGCAAACATTCACAATTAAATGGGTCATGTAGAGCACTGCCACAAAACTACTGATGTCAGGGCCAGCATGCCTCTGAATATCAGTTGTTGGAAATCCCAGTTGGAGAGAGTGCTGTTCACATTATATCTGAATGAATTCTAAGAGTCATTTGTACCACAATGAATTGATAAAATAATATTAGTATTGTTTTCGAACAGCTCCTTAAAGACCTCTCCAGAATATATTCTAAAGGAAAAAAACTGAACTGTTGAAGTACACAACCTGGAGAAGAGTACTAATGCACACATTGTATATCTCAGCATTACCATATTGCATGCTGATCCACGTAAAATTTACAAATTAAAAGAAAACGTATTACTGCAAAAAATAATAACATAAAAATAGAACACGTCACACAGAAAAGGAATGCATATGGATTCAAACATTTAGGAATGCTCATACTATGTAAATATTCTGAAGTACACAAGACCCATGCTGAAATGTCAGCTTTCAGATCTTCCTCAGTTTTTTAACTCTTTGCTTTTGTAGAGTTCATGGTACCTATATGTTCATCTTCAAATGTAAGCCAGCAAAACCCCACAAAGTAAAAATGCTGTCAACACTCTCTATGCATTTGATGGGCTCAGTGCAATCTCCGTGTGATAGAAAAGAGCTAAAGAAACGGCTAGAGAGTTCCCAATTCAGGTCAAATAGTAATTAGCATGGTTTGTTCAGATATTAATAATGTAATATATAATAGCCAGTGATTAAGTCACATGATATTGTTCACTACTTTCTAAAGTAGGGCAAGTACTCTACACCAGTATTGCAAGGGGGGGGGCATCATGGCAGTTGGCAACCTCAGAATTTGGCAGCATAGTTTAACCATCAGCACTAGCCAGTGTCTCAGCCAGCCCAAATTCTTCCCCTCCGTCTTAGCAACACTTATTCTCTGCTCCATCTTTAAAGGGACAAAGAAATGAACACATATAGAATTCTCTAGTATATGCATTTATATTGCTTATTATCACAAGAATGGGGGGGGGCACCAATACACCCCAGGATTATGTACTCAATTATGCAGACTGTGTTGTATTTATGTTAAGGAAAGTAAAATCAGAATATCATTTTCACTTGTTAGGTCTACTGGGACCAGAGGCAGGCTGGGCGTCAAAACCTGTCCTGTAATAATTCCGATACCAACAACCTTGTGTAGGCGGACTATGTAGAAACAGCTTGCAATCTGTTAGCAGCAGCACCTTAGCATGAAGCCTATTTTTTCAGAGAACTACAAAGGGAATTGTACAACCAACCACTAGAAAAAAACCCCAATGCCTACGTCAACACCAAATTGAAGTTGAAGAAGCCATTGATTTATATTATCTCAAATTCACTTTTGCATCTTTAGAGGTTACTAGATTAAAGGACAACATGTGGGTAATCATGCTAGAAGCATTTTCAGTTTTGTTTTGAACCACAAAGTATAGCATTGAACAAGTTCATGTTTTATTGCCCCATTCAAGATGTAGAGTGTATGGAACTTGCAACCAGCAACATGATAGAGCACAAATGGTATTTTTGCCACTAGGGAAAGGTTAAACAAAACACTTCTCAAAGGAAAAACAGTTGACAGGAAATGTGATCTGCATATCCACATACCCAACAGTACTAAAAAAAACTGAACAGCTAACAAGAATTGCCTTGCAGCTTGACAGGAAAACTCACTGGTCAGGAAGCACTGAAAGTATTAATAAGAGAGAAAACTGCATATCTGGTGATGTCACGTTTCACATCAAAAAGCTGATGCTTGACCCAGATAAACATTTACTATAAATATTTCATTTTCAATAGTGAAGCTATTTTTGCTTACTTCAAACCACAACTGAATCTAAAAACAATTCCACAGTGACACTTTTCACAATAACTTCATGATTCCATTATATTCCTGAAACAACCCAGTACTCCTCACTTTGCTCTCTATACTTTCACAGAAATTTTGAAGCAAGAGAACTTGTGCACCAGTTTT